AAGAAAGAAAGAAAGAAAGAAAGAAAGAAAGAAAGAAAGAAAGAAAGAAAGAAAGAAAGAAAGGGCTTCTTTAAAAGAAGAAAACTCTCTGCTTTAATGTTAAATGTTCCAGAGCTTCATTGTTAATCTGTCAAAGTCAATATTTCTGTGTACAGCTGCTTGTAAACTGTATTTCCTGTAGCCCAGATTGGTACAAGAAGTAGGTAGCGCATACCCAGGTGTTCAGTGCAGCTCTCTTAGCAGTCTTATTCCTTTTTTACAGCAACCCAGAGTGAAGTCAGAGGAAGTGGTCTCCCAGTGAAGAATTATGAGACCTTGTCTCTGCTAGAGAAAGCATACTTCAGAATTTCCCAGGCTTGATTTCAAATGCAAGAAGAGATAACAGAAAGCCTCTTATAAGGTGCTTGGCTTTAAGCCTGGCATCTCCCTGTTGCTCTGCAGACTATGGCCTGTAGCCTGAAGAATTTCATCCATTCTCTGGATCCAAAATCCCTACCTCGGATTCTGCAAATCCAGTCTGGCTTTTATGATGAAGGTGAGCTTTGGTCTGAATCACCTAACTGTGTGTAGCAGTGCAGTTTCAGCATTTATCTGAGGGTGAATATTGTAAGAACAGCATTATGTCATTACTAGCGGGACCCCTTACATCAGTAGTGAATTTAGACTCCTGACTAAATCTCTGATTGATCAGCACAGTTAAAACACTTGACTAATGACAGCATTCATAGTTGCCATCCTCCTCAAGCACAGAAAAGTAAGTCTAAGTTGTCACTGAACCATGAAGGGTAGTCTAAAGACATTCTAACATGAGTGTCATCTGAATGGGTGGCATATATGAGGCTAGAAAAAATAGAAGTGTTTGAAGTAGGCTATCAGAAATGTACTGAGTCCAGATAGTGTCACGCCAAAGCAGCAAGGCCAATGGCATGAACTTTAGCTGTAACTCAGAGTGTTTTGTACACTTTGTACTTTTTATACCACTATTCATATTTGGTTTCTTTTTCATTGTATATTCTATTATTTCTCTGTGTCACTTGAATATATATTAGATAGGACAGAAAGTAAATGATGGGATGAGAGACAGAGAAATTAGGACTGCTTGTTCATGATTAAATTAATAATGTTTCAATAAAACAAATAAAAAGGGAAGAAAGTTTGAGGAGGAAGCTTTCATGATGCTTCCAGATGACACATTGTTCAGTCCTGCCAACTTCTTCACAGTATTTGATAGAATATCCAGAGAATGTCATTTATCATTTATAACCTTCCGATGTTTGCCTGTGGTTTTTCTATTTTTTTTTTCCTTTATGGGAAAAAGTATATCCAGGAAGGCCCAATAAAATAGTGGTAAAACAGCTCTGCATTTGTAGTGTAAGAGCCTTCCTTCTACAAGGACCACCTAATGAGAGTATATCTGGACACATAGCAAATAAGGATCAGATGTAATATAATTCAGGAATTGACATGTAGAAGTTTCATAAATAAGTGTTCAAAGTATTTCATGAAATTTAGCAATAAAGTTGGCTTTGTTGCTAAACAAATTTAGCTTTGTTGCTAAATCTACTAAAAGAAGTGTGCATCTGGAAATAGACTTGTGCCATTGCTAGATGTGTACAGAAAAAAAAAACTTGGTCTGCACTCAATATCTGAAGATGCCTTCATGAAAAAATCATTGTCATTAACTTTTTAGCACCTGTTATTGATAGGCATAGTTCCATGCTAAATGTGGCTGATTGATGCAAAAGAAACAGCAGTTCTGCTCACAATTAACTTAGCCTGTGTGTCCTATGCATATTTTAACCTGGTTCTCTCTAGCTGACCTGGGACCATGACTCCCCCAATTCTCTGCTAAATGGGATTAATAAGAGCTTCAGACCAACACATGCAAGGGATGTCTGGTTAGGAGACTCTGATCTTTTTCTGAACCCTTTAAAGTAGGAATAGGGGAAGGAATAGAGCCTTAACAGTACCATCACAATAATATTATTGTATGGGAATGGGTATTAGGGGTCCCTTATTGACACAGCTTTTGGTATTCTATATTTATGATGGTGAGAGTAACTGGAGAAAGTTCTTCAGTCCCAGAGGGTCAACCTTTCAGGGTATGCCATAGCTTACAGGAACACTACTTTATTATTGGAGGGCAGAATAACAGTCTGGAAACCCTGCCAGAGTTTCCCTCTGCACCCTCTTACACAAACACCACCATCAAGGTGGGTTATTTTGAGAATCTTTCTTTCTTTCTTTCTTTCTTTCTTTCTTTCTTTCTTTCTTTCTTCCTTCCTTCCTTCCTTCCTTCCTTCCTTCCTTCCTTCCTT